CCCGCCCCGCCCCTGCGCTCCCCGAAATGACCGCCCCCTCTCCCCCTTTCTCACTTAATGTATTGGAAGTGCTCTTTGTCGTCAAAATAGCCGCCCACCTCCGCCAGTTTGTACACCTCGCCAGACCTCACTCGGCCCTGGGCAAGAGTTGGGCGTGGTGTTATTGTGCATGGGGTGGTCATGTTTGGCCGAGGCTTGTGCCCTGCGCCCAGCTCGCCGTTGTCTCTTCAACAGCGGTGCCAAACTGACGGCTGGCGCACTGCTGCCGCAGACCCTTCTGCCGCTGCGGATGTTGCCGCTGCAGCCGCTGCCGCTGCCGCTGCCCAAACAAAGGTACCGCTGCCCTCCCGCACCTCCAGGGCGGCGAAGTCTGCAGGGCGGTGGGTGTAGTCGCCCATGTACCGTGTAAAGTACACCTCGTCCTGCGGCTGCTGGCAGTACATGCACCGCTTGTCCTCTAGCACAAAGCGCAGCCGCGCGACGCACCGGGAGCATGCCTGCAGGGGGCCAAGCGTCCGAGCGAAAGGGGGGCGGCAGTCTGGGGCCGGCAAAGGGTTGGGCCGTGCAGGACTAACGAGGTCTGGGCTTGCAGGTGTGTCTGCACGAGACCGCCGAACCGCGCAGCTCTCCAGCAGAAATGGCCGCAAGAGCGGCGGGCAAACGGCGGCCAAGACAAAGAGTGCAACGCGCGCATCGGCCAGCCCGCGCACCTCCTTGTGGCCGCAGGGCCCAAAACCGGTCCACTCCAGGGAGTCGGCGCAGATGACGCAGTGGTCTTCAGACATGGTTGCTTTGGCCGCTGACGCCGCTGCGGCCGCTGCTAGCGCCGCCGCCGCTGCTGCTGCGTGGAATTTGGCTGCGCCTCTGCTTCAGCTGAGCTGCCCGCAAACCGCCGCGCAAGGCGCCTGGTAAGCGCCAGTTGCCTGTATGGCCGTGCTCACGCAAATTGATGACTGTGCTTTGATGGCGTTCAAGAAGCGCGGCGCGTGTCTCAGTAGTGAGAGCCTGCCTGGAACAGCGGCAAGGGTCGCTGCGCCCGTGTCGGCCGCTGCCGCCCACTATGGCATAAGCTCAGCAGCGCCCCAGGCCCAATTAGAGGTCAAGATATCAATCGGAATGTCTAGACTGATGGACACGCCAAGGGCGGCTAAGGACGGAGGTTGTGCAAGAGCGATCACAGGCGTGGAAGTGCGCGCTTGCAGTTTACTTTGATTGTGTAAAGATGGCATCAGCAAACCTTTAGAGCCAGGGCAGGGGCATTGAGCGCCTGGATGATGAATGCAGGCCAGGGGGAGATTGGATCGACGTCGAAACACTTTCTTTTGGAGAGCTGTCGCCGAGACAAACGCTAAATTTCTATACTTTGCTGCACATGAGATTGAATTGAACAGAGCACTGTTGGCCTTGATCCATTCACGCATCTAAAAATGGCCCTTGTGCACAGGGGTAGCACCTGCGTGGCGTTCGGGGCGCAGAGGCCCCGTGTGCAGGGTGGAAGCTCAATCAGGGGCTTAGCGGCGCCGTCCGTCCATCCGGTGAGGACAACTGTGCTGCGCCGATGGCGCAACGGGTCAGCCGCTTCATGCTGCATGCTGCGCACACGCAACGCCATTCGTGCTTTTCAAGGGCAAACGTCTCTGAAATTAATTTGGCTGCAGGGTGTGGTGCGCGTCACACAGCAGGCAGGCAGCAGCAGGTGGGTCTACTGGGCGCATCCATGCAACAGACGAGGGAGCGTGGATGCACCCCTTGCATGCAGCGGAGCGTAGATGAACCCCTTGCATGCGGCGGCGCCGGCACATCTTGCAAGCGGAGCAGGCTTCCTGCGCTTTCAAACATCTGACCTGCACCTTGCCTTACATCCCAGGCGTGTAGTGATGGCGGCGGCGGGCGCGGTGGCCGAGGCGCCCGCGCCGCCGGTGCTGCCGTACCGCGTCGGCCACGGGTTTGACCTGCACCGCCTGGCGGAGGGCTACAAGCTCATCATCGGCGGCGTTGAGATCCCTCACACCAAGGGCTGCGAGGCTCACTCAGACGGTGCGGAATCGGGGCGCGCGGTGAAATGGGACAGGCGGCGTGGGGCAGGCGGGCGGATGCCTTTGGCTGGAGCCATCAGAGCACGGATTTGACACGAGGAGGAGCCATAGCACCTCATCTGGCAGCCTGGCACAACGGAACTGAGCAAAGCGCGATGTTGTGGTGTTCTGGCGGCTGGGGGCTATTCGACCAGCATTCACTGGTCAAGGCGCGTGCCCTCCGCCTTGCACCTCAGGCGATGTCCTGCTGCACACAGTGACGGACGCCATCCTGGGCGCCCTCTGCCTGCCAGACATTGGTGAGCCACACGAAGCCGCAGCTCCAGGGCCAGGCGGCGGCATCGTGTCTGCCGTTCTGCTGGGTACATTGCTGGTGTGGCGCGAAACCTGCAACGCCTTGCAGGCTGCTTGCTGTGCATGCTCATAAATCTCACCTACATTCCCTTCCGAACCCGTGGTCGTCTGGACCCAAACTTGCACCTCCATTTTCATCCGCCATACCCCCAGGCCAGCTGTTCCCGGACAACGACCCCAAGTGGAAGGGCGCCAACAGCGACATCTTCTTGAAGGAGGCGGTGCGGCTGATGGGGGAGGCCGGCTACACCCTGGGCAACCTGGACGCCACCATCATTGCTCAGAAGCCCAAGCTCTCGCCGCACAAGGTGGGGGCACTGGAGGCGGCGGGGATCAGGAAGGGGTGCGCTAGAGGGGTTGGCGGTTTGGTGTTCAAGGGGCTGGTTTAGTGTTGGAGGGGCTGAGTTGGCTGCGACGCGTATTGCAGGAGGCTGGTGCGGCACAGCCACGTTGGGTTGGGGGCTGGCAATGTGTGGTGTGTGGGTGGACAGGTCTGTGTTGTGCACAAGAGAAGCCCTTGCAGCGAGACGTCTGTTCCCCACATGTGCCGCTCTTCCCGCCATGTGTGGCTGCCCACAGGAGAACATCCGGATGAACTTGAGCGAGCTGCTGCAGGCGCATCCCTCCGTTATCAACATCAAGGTGACTTGGCTGGACTGCATGGCATAAAGGGAGCGCACTGCATCGGAGTGCAACCGGGACCTTGCAACCCAACGCCTCGGCCAATTTCAAGCAGGAGCGTGGCCGCTGCTTGCTCCTCAAGCAATACAATGGCTGTGCCATGGTTGAGGAGCAAGCAGCGGCCACGCTCCAGCCTGGAATCGGCCAAGTCATCGTATTGCTTGATGCTTCAAGGCCTTATGGGCACCCGTGGCCCTCAACATCATCCCGCCCAACCCTCTTCTGTTCCAGGCCAAGACCCACGAAAAGGTCGACAGCATCGGCGAGGAGCGCAGCATTGGCTGCCACGCGGTTGTCATGCTCATCCGCACGCAGTGAGGGCAGCGGACTGCTGGGGCACTTGGCACCCCTCGTGCAACCCAGCCCGACACATATTGTCCTGCATCCACACGTCCCTGCATGGAGGCAAAGCCACCGCGCCGTGGAGCATTTGCAGTCGACATGCGACAGCTGGCCTCATTTTGTAAGCACTATGCGTCAAGGCAAGCACACGGATGCGGGTGGGAACACTGGTGCTTCGTTCAGTCCAGATTCAGCTTCGTGGTGCATCACGACCAACCAATGCCTTGTGATGAAAAAGAAGCAAAACTTATTTGCGCCATGCACACTCCTGTATCCACATAGGCTGGAGGTGGTGGCGGCCGCCACCGGGATACTGGGATGCACTGCAGCACTGGTGCATTGACCTGTTGACGCGCCACGCGTCGCAGGCCCTATGCATGTGACCTCCATCATCACCCCTTAACTGGCCGTTGTCAGTAGAGGTTATGTTAAGTCAACGCCTCGAAAGACACAGCAGGCGTCCCGCGCCATGATCACTTAGCTTGGCAACCACCCCGCTAGCCGCGCTGCGCCCGGCAGGGCTCGGACTTTTACAGCAGGAGCCGCTCGATCAATCATTAGATTGTGTCAGTTCCCAGAGGTGCGGTGCTTATGGTCTGACCGGGCGATCAGGCCGCGGGGCACCCACAAGTGCAGCTCTTGCTAGCCAAGACCACCGTGCAGTCTTACTGAAGCACACGTGGCGATCGAATGACGTGACATACATGTACCACGGGCCCAGCTGGTGCACTTGCTCCAAAGCGCGCGCTGCACCGGTGCGCTCATGCGGTCTTGCTCTTGCTGCGTGCGCGACAGGTTGACGGAGTGATGCGGCGCAGGAGCGCGGCGGCCCTCGCCTTGGGGCTGCTCGTGCTGTGTGCTTGCATCCAATCGTCACTGCAGCAAGCGGCAAAGGCAGCGTCGGGTGATGAAGAACCAGCGCCAACAGTGAAGGAGGAAAACGAATCCACAGCAGCACCAGCAACAGCAGCAGCACGAACAACAGCAGCAGCACCAGCAACAGCAGCAGCACCAGCGGCGACAGTCGCACAGCCAGCAGCAGCAAATTCAGAGTTGCAAACAGCAGGAGAGGCATCACCAACAGAGGAAACATCGGCACAAGCACTGCAAGCCACAGCCGCCCATGCAGCAGTGTCGGTCCCTGCCGAGGAGGCGCGGGAAGTGGAGGACGAAGTGGGGACGGCCGGTGCTGAAGCAGAAATGGTAGCTGCACCCGCCAAGGCTGCGCCAGAGGCGAAGGCACCCTCCAAGGCCGTGCCAGAGGCGGAGGCACCCGCCAAGGCCGCGCCAGAGGCGGAGGCACCCGCCAAGGCCGCGCCAGAGGCGGCTGCGCCCGCCAAGGCCGCGCCAGAGGCGG